AGTTGATCATGGGAATTGACATAACCATGATTATTGAGTGAAGGTTGATATTCAATTATTCTATAAAATTATGGGAGTGGAAGAGTTTCTAAATTGGCATATCATTGTCTACAAGTTCTTCGTTGTTATGGGCGTCGATGAGAACAAGCAAGTTAAGATGGTGACGATCAGGCTTAAAAGTTATGCCATTGTTTGGTGGGATAAAATTGTTGTCCAAAGGCAAAGGCAGAGGATTGGGCAAGTCAGAACATGGAGAAAATGAAATAATTGTTGCTGGAGCGGTTTTTATTGAAGGATTATGAACATGTTCTTTATAAGATGTACATCGAGTGTGTTTATAGGGAAAGAGAGTCGTGATTGAATACATAACTGAGTTCCTGCATTTTTCTGAGCGCAATGAACTAAGAGAATAAGATATCTAGAAAATAGCTCAATACACCACTGGTTTAAAGGGTTCCTTGCAGGAGAAGATGGTATACAAATCATATGGATCGTAGCTGAGACATCCAGTTTAGCTTTGAAGGAAGAAATGATGGAGAAATCCCCTCGGAATTCGTCATCTTTTAGAAGGTATTCACCCCATAATAACTTTGAATCAGCAGGTAACAAAGAAAATAGTGCAACACCCCGAGATTCCAACCATGTGAATAAGGGGACTAGCATCTCTAGCGATGTGTAGCACGATAAATCCCCAATCCAGAGGAAGAATACTCCATATGCTAAACCCACTGGAGACATATGTTATCATTATAACACAAGAGGCCACACGTTGAATGTTTGTACAAAAAGGAGAGTCACTGCTGTTATGGAAAAAAAGAGAGAGATGAGGAAGAAGAAGATCCTGCAGTTGAGAACGATGAATATGTCGAGGTTGAGTTTGCAGAGGAAGAATCTAATGAGTGGATACATTTTTTGTTGCAGAGAATTTTACTAGCATCCAAAGATGAAAGGTAGCGTAAGAATTCGTTCAAAACACATTGTTCTATCAAGAACAAAGTGTGTAATATTAACATTGATAATGGAAGAACAGAGAACCTGGTGTCGCATAAATTGATAGAGTATTTGAAGTTGTCTATAGAATCCCATGAGAAATTATACATCCTCGGTTGGGTAAGCAAGGGCTCTCAATTTTGAGTAACACTAGCCTGCACAATTCCTATCTTCGTCGAGAAACATTACAGAGACGAAATACTTTGTGATGTTTTTGATATGGATGTTTATCATATTTTACTTGGTAAACCTTGGAATTTTAATAATGATATCACTTATCGAGGACAGGATAACATGATAATGTTTACATGGGGTACACATAAAATTTCTATGTCTCCTGTTTTGCACTTTGATGAAAATCCAAGAGGAAAGAAGTCTAGTTTCTTGGTGATGACGCATAGTGAAAAGGAGTTTGATGATTCTGTAAAGGAAACTAAATGTTTCTGTCCAGTGGTGATCAAAGGGTTGAAGAATGTTTTAAAGGAGGAATCAACGATTCTAGAAGAAGTGTTAAAGATCCTTGAGGATTTCAAGGAATTGACTTAGAGGAATTACCAAACGATTTGCCTCCCCTCTGATATATTCAACATCAGATTAAACTCATATCGGGGTCTAGCTTACCAAACCTTCCTCACTATCGTATGAGCCCCAATATGAATGATATTTTAAGGGAGAAGATTGAAGATTTGATGAAGAAAGGATTTATTTGTTACAACATGAGTCCCTGTGTAGTACCAGTGCCTAAGAAAGGAAATCAGTGGTGAATGTGTGTTGATAGTTGAGCCATCAATAAGATAATTATCAAATATCCATTCCTAATTCCCCATTTGGAAGACATGCTTGACGAGTTGGTCGGCTCTAAGGTGTTCTCGAAGATAGATTTGCATAATGGATAACATCATATCAGAATTAGACTTTGAGATGAAAGGAAAACAAATTTCAATAGCAAAGATGGATTGTACGAGTGGTTGGGGATTCCCTTTGGTTTGTCAAATGCCCATAGCACCTTCATGCGGTTGATGAATCATGTTTTGTGTTTGTTTACTAGTTCTTTTATAGTGGTTTGTTTTGATGATATTCTGATTTATAGTAAGACCAAGACAACATTTATAGCCTGTGAGACAAGTGTTGCAAGTCTTATAAGAGAACCACTTGTACATTAATTTGAAAAAATGTACATTAAACACCAACAAGTTACTTTTCCTAGGCTTTGTTGTTGGTGAAGAAGTGATTTAGGTTGATAAAGATAAGTTTAGTGCTATAAGGGAGTGGTCTGCACCCAAATTGGTAAGGGAGGTTCGTAGTTTTCATGGTCATGGCACCTTCTATAAGAGATTTATCAAATATTTTAGCACCACACCTATTACTGAATGTTTAAAGAAAAGGAAATTCAATTACGGGTTTAAGAAAGAGCGGAGTTTTGCACTGATTAAGGAGAAGTTATGTTTCACACCGATATTAGCAGTTCTCAATTTTGACAAAGTGTTCCAAGTTGAATGTGATTCTAGTGGGGTAGGAATAGGATCTGTGTTATCTCACGAGAAGAAACCATTAGCCTTTTTTAGCAAAAAAGTAAGCGATGCTTGCCATAAATGGAGTACTTATGACCAGGAATTCTATGAAATCTTTAGAGCTCTACGCCAACGAGAACATTATTTGGTTTAGAAGGAGTTAATTCTATTCACTAACCACAAAGCTTTAAAGTTTCTTCATAGCCAGAAGGCGATAAACAAGATGCATGCTAGGTGGGTGACTTTCCTGCAAAAAATTCCTTTAATTATTCAACATAAGTCGGGGGCTCTTAACAAGGTAGCATATGCATTGAGTAGGAGGGCTTCCTTAATAATTATCTTAGCACAAAAGATATTAGACTTTTAGTTTCTGAAATAGTTGTATAGAAATGATGTTAAGTTCAAGGAGTTATGGGCCAAGTGTAGTGGAAAACATCCTTGTGCATATTTTCACATTCGAGATGGCTATCTTTTTAAAGAAGATCAACTATGAATTCCTTTCTCATCTTTAAGAGAAAAGTTAATTCGATATTTTCATGGTGGTAGTCTTAGTGGTCATCTGGGTAGAGACAAGACAATTTCTATCCCGAAATAGATGTATTATTGGCCACATTTGAGGAGGGACGTTGGTGTTATACTTGTCAGGTTTCTAAAGGTCAGTCTCAAAATATTGGTCTTTATATGCCTTTACTTATTCCTGGTGACATTTGGCAAGATTTATCCATGGCTTTTGTGTTGGGCTTGCCTCAGACACATCGAAGTGTAGATTCTGTGTTTGTGGTAGTAGACAGATTCTCTAAGATAACACACTTCATTGCTTGTAAGAATACTGCTAATGCTTCCAACATAGCCAAACTGTTTTTCAGGGAAGTTGTACGTTTTCATGGGATTTCTACATTTATTACTTCAGACGGGGATACCAGTCATTTCTAGATTACTCTTAGGAGATTGTTTTGAACAACTTTGAACATGATTTCTACGATCTCATACTCAAACAGATGGACAAACTGAGGTAACCAACAAAACTTTAGGAAATATGATTAGGAGTATTTTTGGTGACAAGCCGAAACAATGAGATTTAGTTTTCCTCGGGTCGAATTTGCTTACAACACCGTTGTGCATTCAGTTACAGGGAAATCACCATTCTCTCTGGTCTATACTTTTGTTCCTAAGCATGGGGTTAATTTGGTTAAGTTGTCTAATGTACCTGAAGTCAGTGCGGCTGCTGAGAATATGGACGAGGAAATTGTAGTTGCTAAAGAAGTTGTCAAGGCTAAGTTAGAAACTACTAGGCAAAAGAATAAAGCAGTTGCTGACAAACATGTGAGAGTCAAAGTTTTCAATATAAGAGACGATGTGATGTTGTTTCTACACAAAGAGAGGTTCCTGGTTGGTACTTACAACAAGCTGTAACCACGCAAATATGACCCATTCAAAGTGACCCAGAAGATCAATGATAATGCTTATGTGACAGTTGTCCCTAAGTTCATGAATATATCAAATACTTTCGATGTTGCTGACATTCATGAATATCATGCGGACGAGGTTCTTTACCAATAAGAGAATTCGGAGTCAAGTTCTTCAGAGGTAGAGGATACTGATGTAAGAAGGCTGGTTGTGCGCATCGAAGAGGAAGTCGCACATCGAAAAGGTTCTGCAAGAAATGTGCAAATTTGGTGTCCAGTGTCAAAATAACTGTTATTATATCTTTTCGGATAAGGAATCGACTCACAAGTCCCACTCAGTGACCTATGGACTTTTTAAACCACCCGAGTTTGTTCCATACCCAAATTCAGCATTTTACTATTCACATCTTATTTTATTTATTTAATTCTGTTTTGGATTAAAGGTATATTAAGTTTCAAATTGTGCTTGTCTGCTAGCAAACATAAGACTTGCTAACACAATCAAATGCACCCATATACTTGTTCCCCAAAAGTTAATAATCTTGCACCTCACTACATTATATATAAAGCATAATACTTCCTAAGGCAAAAAATGGCATCAATCTCTTTTCTTTATCCAAGTGTTTCTATATATCATCCCATTGACATGGACTATCTATCACAGCACAACAAAAATGTAGTTACAAAGATTTTCAAGTGTCAAAAGGTATAGGCAAAGATAACCAAACCAATAATATAATACATGCAATGCAGAACTACCTTAAATACCAAATCCTCATTGTCTATACACTCAACAATTAAAACAAAAATAAAAAAAATAAACCACCCTTTTTCAATAGAAGTGCAGTCGCATTGATCCTCCGTGGTAAAGACGATATGTACATCATGACGCGATACAACATTTCACCAAAATCAAGCTTCAGGTGAAGCTAAGGAATTCAAGGTGCAAGAAGATCTGCCAAAATCTTGCATCCGAAACACTTGCTGCATGAATATGGTTTGTATATTTACACAGAGAAGTATCATTCTTCTGTCCTCATTTCGCTACCATAATTTCATTTCAAAGGCGCTTAAGAATAGTTGCGCGCGCATATTATCTAGCCACATTTACTCTGTCAATCACATCCAACGCTCTCTTTTTGTCAATACTAAAATCAATCACAGGAACCTTAGAGAAAATTCTGTTATATGATAATTCCTTGCTTCTACTTGTCGTTGAGTAACTGCTACTTTTTATCAGTCTGTTATTATCGGTCGACACCGTCTTCACGCTGTCAAAGTCCAAGCTTTTACTTTTACTGATCCCTCTAACACGCATTTTGTTACTTACATCCTTCAGCATGATCTGCTCGTCAGTTGTTAGAAATGGCGATACTGCATTTGTCGATTGTTGATTTGTATTTTGTAAGACAGTGCCGACACGAGACTTGATGGCAGACTTTATTTCTCCAACATCACCCCCGGCTTTACTTTTAACTGCCAAGCGGTGAAGCAATAAGAGAAGTTCAAGTATATAGTTTTCTACTTTTTCTTTATCTGCGTGATGAAATGTTTCAATCCGCATTACGTCAGTCTTCATTGTTTTCTTGTTTAGATCGGATCTGCAACAATCAAACAAGGAATTTGAAAATGAAAGTAGAAACAAAAGTGAAGAAAAGAAAAAAGTCGAAAGATCCAACAGATTGTTACTTACCCGGTGCTTGCCCATTCCCCAACCCAACCAAAACCATGATGAGCTCTGAATCAGTAGTTTTAGAGCACCCAACCGAACGAAAAAGAATGAACAGTTAGCTTATATTAAAAGTATATAAAACTAATGCTTGTAGAAAGTTTCTCAAATATCTACGTATATCTACGCTATCAAGCAGTGACACAGATACGACACTGACACATATAATAGTTTACGAAAATAAAAATGATGGAACATAATCACATGTGTCGGACACCAGGCATGCCTTCAATCTGAAATTCTAGTACTGACACAGTATATAAAGCAAGACATCTTACTTTGCCGTGTTTGTAGCAATTGGAACCAACCAATGCAATGTTTTCTCCATCTCCTGTTTAATATCTGCTACAGTGAGCTGTTTGGCAGTACATATATATTAGCTAAGATTTAATGTTTTCTCTTTTTAAACGAATATTTTCTCGTATTTTAACATTCGTTATAGAAGAACGAACCAACAGATGAGAACATACCTCTTCTGCAACATGAAATGTAGGTAATTTGGAACGCAGAGTTAATTTGATATTAGGAGGCAAGCTCTGATATAATGTATCCCTTGTATTTGCCGGCATAGAAGCGGATCTGGCAACCTAACAAAACGAACACAAGCTTTAGTACAATGCTTTTCAGCGCATAAGCTAAGTCACACGAGACAGTTGACACATAAAGCACGCTGTTAGCACTTGGCCATGTTATGAAATAATTGTAAGAAAGAAGAAACTTACTAGAGTATCCATTTGGAGCACTATATTGGCATAATGCAAAGAGAGGCCCGCAGGACCTAATCTTTGACGATTGCTGATGGTTTGAATAAAAGGTTTACGGTTATCTGCAGGAAACCGTTGCAGCAGTGTTGCAGTTATGAAGCAAAATCCAACTTTCATTACGAATTGAGTCAACGAGTAATTTGATCAGAATATAAACAGAGTACTTACCTGCACTGCCAAAGGCTTTATTTATCTCCAAATGTAAAAAGTGGACTATGTCTACAAGTTTCTCCATAACCTGTGATTCATTAGATTATGAACTATACTCTATTATTCAATTTTCAAGTATGGTATGCTCAAAATGAATCAACTTCTGCTAATATAAAACATCTTAGAGCCTATGTACTAGTTCCAGTATTCTACATGGATAGAATACAACAATCGTATAAAACATGGATTGGAGGAGAATACAAAATGAGATCATCACATTCATCATGTTAAGAGTCTCACATCGGACAGTATATGGCTTAAACATGTGCTTAAAAGTGGGGGTAATCCTCACCTTAAAAGCCTGTTTTGTAGGGATGTATTAAGCTAAACCACATTTCTTAACATGGTATCAGAATTTAGTTTAAGATACGGTGGACCACCCACCATTTATTTCCACACTCCAGATGTCCAGCCTTGAACGTGAGGGGTGTGTTAAGAGTTTCCCATCGAACAATATATGGCCTAAACATTTTATCTACAGCAGAGTTATGTTGTTACCTCCTCCAAACTTCTGGACCAGAGTGACTTCTTCTTCAAATGCCTAACTTGCTTCTTTTGACTTTTAAGTTCTGCCTTCAAGATTGCAAGACTGTCACCTATATGATGAAGAGAGATAGTCAAACTTATATTTATATCAAATTACCGAAAGAAATATTGCCATATAGCTCCGAGTAACTTTTTCTTTAAAACTGTTATATAATAACCAACCTATTGTGCTTTCATAAAAATATCCTACTAGAATATGCAAATCATGCTCCACAAAATTCAAATAAAACATAATGAAAATCAAGGGTCATTTTCTCTAGAAGTCTAAATAATTGAACAAATACCGATACCGGTGCAATTTTCCTGGATCTTAAACCATGGACTCGATTGTCCAAGTTTAATACATACTCTCTATACCCTCTAAACGATTATTTCATCAAAAGTTTACTATACTAAACTAATATTTTTCTTTGAATTTGAACACTTTCAAAAAAAAAAAATTTTATTTTTTTCGTCAATTATTACTTCAACAAACAAGAGTTGCACGTTATGTGAAGGGAAGTTTTCTTCAATTACCGCTTTGAGCTGCACTTGAATTGTCCTCCTCTTCACGCTTATGCTGATAATCTTGCGCAAATCTATCCAAAGCATGTAACTCGTGGTATAATTCCTGTTTTCATAAAAATCGATTTTCCAATTCCTTTTAGACTCAAATCCCACAACAACAAAAAACACTGTTTAAGAAGAGAAACTAAACTATATTTCTCCATCTTCATAAGTAACTACAACTTCTGAAGCAATTGCAAATATTTCTTTAGTAAAGGAATACACTCACCGCCGTATGTTGAACTAAATTCATCAATTGTTGCATTAATAACTCCGCCTCTTCCTTTGTTTGTCTTTGAGAATTAAGTTCTTTGCTAATTCTAAAATTCACAACAAAAATACATGTAAGAACAAAAATAATAAAAGCCATTTTTTCCACGCAATGGAAGGCTAGAGAATAGACGAATGGAGTAAATACGATTTATATTACTTCTCAAAGTATCGATCCAAGTTGTGCCACTGAGGATCCTTTGAACGATTTCCAAAACGAATCACCTCATCCGAAAAGACCTTCAATTCATCTCTGGAAACATAACCAAAAACCATATCCCGTTGGCATTTCAAAGAGTAGTGATAAACTAAAACAGTTGAAAGTTACGTTGTTGACGGAAGGAACATAAGCTCCTTCCATTACCTCTTGTCTGAAGCAACGATTTGTAGAAGTTCGTCCATATCCTTTGACACTAAATCTTGCACAGCCTCTAACTTAAGCACCTCTTCTTTCAAATGTTTAACGTTTTTCGTCGAAAGAGATTCCATGAGACTAAAACCCTTGACAATAGTGTTTGCGACTTCAAATGCTAAAATGCCAACTTCATTCCCCTTTGTTACAGCTCCATATGCAAAACCGCCACCAGAATTTAAATTTGTCATGCTACTACCAAGTGTGTCCAGAACATCAACTGCTTTTCCGAATCCAATAGTGCCAGCTCTGCCTAGGCGCGAACCCACCTCCGAGACCTGAAATAGAAAGACGTTAATCTTCATTTTTCTCCAACGTTAGTCAGCTTATCCCCTTTCACTTAGTTACGAAACTCTAAAACAACAAAATATCAACTCTAATTCTCCTTCATTCCCAAATTATGAATTTATCTATCAATCATAAACCCTACTTCCACCCGTCTCAATCTGTGTTTCTCTCCTCATATTGCACTAAAATCACTCCAATTTTCAAACAAGGATTGAGTAGAAAAATACAAAAGATGCAACTTTAGGACAATTCATCTTTCACCCTCTATCCAAGGTTTAAAAAAAAACGGTGTGTTACCGCAAAAACGGCCGCGACAAAACAGTATCAAAAGTTGCCGATACCGATACAATTATTCACCATTTTATGATGAAAAAGAAATTGTAGTTAATTCACACTGCAGCGACCACAATCAGTATCGCAACACCTAGACCGACCGAAATTGCAAAAGTCTTTACACGACCGCGACGCGACCAGTATCCAAACCCAATCCATCACCAATTGCAACACGTGTTCATGATTCATCTACATACCAAATTTATCTGAGATTACTAATTGATTACAATTTACAACCTTATTTCAATAAACCACTTATATAAGTGTTCATTATAAACCATATAATCTCAAACTATTTCTACAAGTTATTTTCAAAAGCCATCACAGAAAGCTTATGGAAATAAACTGAAAACACCTCTCACAAGTGCTTACTTACACTAGTAAATAAGCACAAACAACTCAATCCAAACATAGCCAAATTCACAAACTGAAGACATGAACAAAATGCTATAAAGCAAACAAACAAGAGAATAATGAATAATGAAACCAACCAACCTTAGCCACAGCAGCTTGCCTCGATCTAACAGACCTAGACTTATGTGAAAAAGAATCAGCATATCGTGGAATCCCATCATAGAAATCATCACTACCACCAACTCCATCAGCAACAACAGCACCTTCTTCTTCCTTCACACTTACCAAATCACTACCCTCCTTGAGATTCTCATCACCACAATGTTCTTCCCTCTTTGCAACCCTCTTGTCACCTTTAGCAGACTTAGAACAAAGACCCCCCATATCAAAATAACAAAGAAAGAAGAAGTGAAAATAAAATTATACTATAAAAGAAGAAAAGACAATCAAAGAGACAACATTAAGCGGCGATGTTGGTAGGTCAAAGATGAAATATTTTGTGTGTGAGAAGTGACAACGCGGCAATGGGTTGGTCATGTTCAACCTTCTCCGCGGTTAGCTAACAACAACTATTTTACGTATAAAATCTGTCTTGTACTTTCATCCATTGCTACTTTGACCTTTTTCTAATAGTCCATTCTAATATTGACAAAACAACATATGTTGTCTTAATCTATGATTATGCTACATAATTCATTTTTGTTGTAGAATTATTTTCTTTTTTATAGAAAGTAGCTTTTTTGTAATGTGTACCACTAAAACAAATATTCTCGATTGTCCAAATGATATATTCCAAATGTCAATTTTCTTATTTAAAGTGTGAAATGTAGATTTGTATTAACATAAAGTTCAACTGGGGTAACTTTTATAACACATCACGGCAGACATGAGTAGATGAAATTTGAAAAAGAAATAATGACCATAGTAAAATCGGATAATATATCAATTGCGGTAAAAAAAATTTGATGTATGAGAAAAGAATAATAACTCCTAATATAAGTGGGTTCGAACATAATTAATGTATACACAAAAGAATATTAGAAAACTCGCACGAAAAATAATAAGATAAAAGATGAGTACGTAAAAATTTTGTTTATCTAATTTGGTCAAAGCAATCTACTTTGGGCGAGAGAGGGAGAGAGATAGAAACTCTCCAATTAATTATACTTCAAAAGTTGTTTTAAGAATTATAAATGAGTTATAAGAAAATAGTCTTTTATGTTCTCAAAAACAAATCTTATTTTCTATCTAAGTGTTTCTCAATCTCTCAAACTTTCAATATATAAATCACACAATCAAACAATGTTTAGACATGTTTTCTACTCCCTTTAAATATTCTTAAAAGTCTACCAATTCTTAGAACATTTAATCATAAATCGTCCCTCTAAGTTTTCTCATTGTGATTAACATTTCTTTCCTATTTCTTTCATACTAACAAAAATGATAGAGAATCATATCTATAATTGTCAAAATCCTAGGGATTTAATTCGGCACCAAAACAAATCTCGTCATTGAACCGACCCGTTAAGCTAACTCATTCGGAAAATACCTGCGACTTGATCGTCGTCGCCTGAACCACCTCTGCCGCTAACTTCCTCATGATACATGTCTTATTTACTTGACTGTCATCAATGATTTCACACACTTATTCAATTACCTTAGCACAAAGTAACCACAAAAAAACCCTAATTTGGCATATAATGAAATGTTGTCCTTGTTTATGAATTGATACTTAGTTATCATTGTTTTCTTTTTATGTAAATAATGGATGAATTACAAAGGAAAATGGATCAAGGTCTTACATTGAAGAGCAAGGAAAATACTGCTCTGAAGAAAATTTGATGGTCAAACCCTTCCTCAATCAGCTAAAACAAGATAAAAGCAACTCCTTACAAAATAGGAAAAATTTATTAAGTGAACCACAACTTGACCAGTAAATGGAAGGCAGATCTGAGGTAGTTCAAACGTTTCTTTGGCGCCATGTAAGCTCAATTCAATGAGTGAGACATTATTCGATTATGGAATTGAAGTCAAATCATAATTCTTTTTAAAGGAGTTTGGGTTGTCATTTAGAGATATCTTGTCAATTTTATTAGTTTGTTTCAGAGATAATATCATTGAGAGAAATACTTGAGATATTTGAACGCCAAAGACATATCAAAGTAGATATCAGCAGAGGATTGAGATATCATCTTATCTCATTCTACTTATGCTCTTCTTGTATTGCTACCTAGAACACCTCGACGGGGAAGAACTCACTCGACCATGGAACACCGAAAAGGTAAAACAATATTACAACTAAGGCCATAACAGTCGGTGTGCTCCGTCAAAACAACAAGCATATTGTACCAACTAGAAGTGTGTGCCCCGGTACAAGCGCTGCATAATAAAATCAATCAATGCAGGATTTTACTCTAGAATGAGCAAAACCCTTGCACGACACTGGTCCCTCGACTGAGACCGCCATCACCATCATACCACAAAAGGTAGAACTCCCAGCTCGTAATGGAAAGTTCACGCTGCAGAACTCAGGACACAAACGTGACCTGAGCTCCGCTCTCTTGCCTGGAAATTATCCAGGCCTTTCGACTAGTTCCCCTCACTGTTGAACAACTATTTATCTAGAAAACCCCGAAACACAATGAAAAACCATTCATGAAAACAACCCATACAAATGGGCACTCACGACGAGAAGCGCGTAACACTTAGCAAAATTAAGCAGAGTAAAAACATACACACACAAATATCCAAAATAAATCATACACAAGCGACCACCAAGGCTGAAATCATATATCAAAAAATAAAACAGCCACAAGGATCGCAATTGTAAGGATATTACATAAAAAGGGGCCACGCCCCTATCCAGAGACAAAGATACAACCACAAAGGTCGAAATTATTTTAAAAACTACATAAAGGGGCCAAGCCCCATCCGAAGAAATTACAACATATGACACGCATGCCGGAAAAACAAAACAAAAAATAAATCGGCATTTGGATGCGACTCTCGTGGATAAGCTGATCGTTCTCCTCGCCCATCCTGAGGAAATCAGGAATGACGATCTGGCTGTCCGCCACGCTGTAGAGGAACCTTGTCCCCGCAGTAACCATCTCAACCCCGGGGTTCACAACTTTCAATTGCTCCACCATATTGTTGAAGGCCTCCTCAGCAGCTCCCAAGCACTCCTCTTCTGCCTGGTTTATCCGGGTAACAAGCTCAGCACGAGTCTTCAGACTCCTTACCTCATCGCTCTCGTCCTCAGCAGGAGCCGCGACAGCCTGTAAAGAAGCAACCATATGCTTCGTGGCTTTCTTCTCTGCAGCTAAGGTATCCCGCTCTTTGATAAACTTGGTCAGCTTCTCCTTGGATGTCTTCGCCTCCTCCTCTGTAGCATTCAACCTCTCCTCCAGAACCACGTTGGCAGTCTGAGTCCTCTTCAACTCCACTTCCTGAAGGACCCCTTCCTCTATATAGACCACCGTCATGCCCAAGATCCTCATTGGGGCAGCGATGCCTTGGGCAAGTAGCGTCCTCTTGCTCAGACAATCGAGTTCCTTGAGCGCTAAAGACTCTGCCCGATGGAGTGTAAGGGAGGAGACTTTGAAGAAATCCCTCTTGTGGAAGCGTGGGGGAAGCTCGTACTTTCTTTTCTCCAATTTGTTGGTCAGGTCAATAACATCTTTCGCCCGGAAGCGCTTGTGCCTCGAAGTCACCGGTAATGGGGAAGTCTGGATGGCAGCTGCGATAGATGAAGAGGTTTCTGATCCCATCGGAGGCGGGACTGCCTGCTCGCCAAGGCGGCTTTTGCTGAGTTTTCTCCCTTGCTTGACCTTGGCCTCCGCAGTTTTTACCAAACATTCTTGAGTCGTGGACATCTTGTAACACCCCTAATTTATTGGAATATTTATTTAATTTATTTAAATAAAAATATTCGCATTTTTGGTGATTTTCGGTGGTTGGTGTGAAATATTGAGAATTATGGATTTTGGGTTATTTATTTAAATAATAGTATATAATATGAATATATTGGTATTATTATTAATTTAAATAAATATAAGTTAACTAAGGGCAAATTAGACAATTGAGGAGGAGTTATTGAGGGTAATATTGGAAAGCCCAAATTTAAGGCCCAAGGTTAGGTTTAACAAAAAGGAATTGTGATGGGATTAGGATTCATTTTGTTAGACAGTGAAAAGAATTGAGGCCAGAGCTCTGAGAAAGAGGTTTGAGGCAAAAGCTTCGAAAGGTTTTCTGAAAGTCAAAGAGAAGGCTTAGAGTTGGCAATTAAGGTATGAGGAGTATTGTCTTCATTGTTTTCAATGTATAATTGCAATGTATTTAAGGCCGATTTAAGGGTTTGAGGCTGATTTATGAGAAAAAGGGAATTTGGCCTTCGTGGCCTAAATCTATTATTGAGATTTTAACCGTAGGGATTTGAACTGATGGTCTGATAGGTTCGAGGCCGATTTGGGTTTCGAAGGAAATTAGGCCTTCGTGGCCAAAACTCTGATTTGACATTTGTCTAACCCGGTAGGGTAATTAGATAGTGAGAAACTATAATGATTGTGGTGTAGTTGTAAAGAGTTATAGGAATTAGAGCGTGAATATGATACAGAATTTGCCTAATAAGTCGTAGATTTTGTGCCTTCATCGCTGTAAGACCTTAGGGATGATTTAGGGATGTTTTTGGATTATTAGGGAAGTGAATCGTTGGACTTTTGGGTTGATTTTAGGTTCTGGTGCGTAACAGCGTTTTGCTATCATCGCGTGTTCGCACAGCGAAGAATCCTTTGCACAAAGAACAAAGCTCGTCCCAGACTCGCACTGCAAAGAATCCTTTGCACAACAAATAAACTCGCCTCAGACTCGCACAACGAACTTGCTAGCGAACGTAGCAGAGTTTCGTGAATTCTAATTTGTGCAGCGATGCCTTGATGTTTTGATGTTGTGATTTCCTTGACGAATTAATATGAGTATGACTGTGGGTTCTATGTGATTTGTACATGATTATATGATGAGTTCTATGATGTAATAATTTATGAACTATGATGATAATTCCATGAGTTTTGATGATTCTACGATGACATGATATATAATGATGATGTAATGATGATGAGCTATGATGGTATTACCATGAGTTTTGATGATGCTATGATGACATGATATATGATGATGATTGTGATGATGATGATGATGATTTTGGTGAATGATGATGCACCTATGATGTTATTATGAGGATGATTATTGACGTGTGCATCATACATTCATGTGCATCCGGACTTTGGTTCAGGACCTTTATTTCTTTGGCTTCAGTCCCATTGTGCGGATGTGCGGTATTTTGATGTGCTCTAGTTCTCGAGTAGAATCGATCTTATTGATGGGGA